CCTTGAATGCTGATCACTACTTTACCAATCTGACAAGCTCTAATCTTTATTTAATCTAGTAATTCTTTTAGATTTGATTACCATGAATTAGTCAAAATAAACATATGAGTTTACCGATGCTCCCAAATATTTCGTATGGTCTAATGTCGCATATGCACGTGGATTCAACTGCAGTCCAAGCCATATATCAGAATACAGATTGCTTGCCATGAAGAGGAATGACATACACATAAGTGCCTGTAATTGGCACTCTTTACATATTTTTATTAGAAATGATCTCATATGTTTTTTAAATTTTTTCAAAACGATGTATTATTTTGTGATCCGCGGAGGCGGACTGATACTTGAGCGCCGAAAATTCATCTTTGTGTAACACTAGTTACGTCAAGCACACTCACAATCATTAAGTTTGAGCGACGATCAACAGAGAGCTAATAATGAGTAATTCTAGAAGTTGTCTCAGCCATTTTCTTTAAATTGACTCACGGAGATCTTTCACGACTTGGCACTTCCTGAGCAAAAATATCGAACTCATTTTCTAGATTTCCATTGAAAACTTTTGGAGATCACAAACTTTAGTTTTCTTCCTTGATCTTTGCAAATAAACAAAATATTATTAGCCATATTATTCCTCATCTTTAAGCGAAATGTCGACTGTTCAAGAAATGCTTATATTGGTGTACGCACAGTTGCTGAAATTGCCATGTAGGAATTTTACGATCGGCTATAACTAACATATTCTTATCGAGCTTTGTCTTGAGCTAGCTACTTCCTCACGAAATCCCCGTAATTGTTGTTCTTGAAAATTTTCAACAGACTTTTAAGCGCCTTTTTTGTTTCTTCTTGAATCATCTATACAACAGGCATTTCAGCCGCTGTACTAAAACTGCGATAGAACTATTAAGGTGAATGCCAGTGAGATTGGCTCAGATAATACATATAACAGGAAGTAACTTTGGAGCCGCCAACCTATATATTAATCTTCGTGTAAGTCTATTACCATGTCCCAGAAAGTCTAAAGACATCTTAATATTCTTCCTCAAAAAATTATAATTAAACTATATACTGACTGTTGTAATAATACAATATCACGTTACTCATCTGCAACCTGTCTGGCGAAGAAACTCAGCAGGAAACCATGTGCAATCTTTAGCTACGTGCTAAAAATCAACGATACTCTTTCAGAACTACGGGTATACTTGAGTCGATGCCGCTTGAAGAAGAGTCTCCTAACACCTAAAGCATCGTTCACGAGCAGAAATGACTAATTTTCTTTTAAAACGTGATCTTTGAAATAGCGGTAGACATCTACTCCTTTTGCTTAATAATTTTTTTTCAGATGAACGGTTGAAGGTGATGTGCCTGCAGGTTTTCCAAGAAATTAACTTCAGTTTCGTCTCATTATGGGACATTAGTAAAATTAGTAAGGACTAACATAGTCAATGGACTCCCAGCTAGCTTCTACCTCCACGTGAGACATTGAATAGGAGAATAAAGCTGGCACGAATAGTGCTAGACTTGTAAGACCTGCGTAGTACAAGCAAAATTGTTCCAGATGTGCTGAAAAATTCAAGAAAAAGGTTGAGCGAGGAATAATAGAATTGATTGTTTAAAAAGTCGAATCAATCTTATCCAATTGAAATGGACCTAGCAGGCGAAACATGGACACCTCACCTGTCTTACCTGCAGAGTTATCCTCACTGCAGCTAATATATGCCTTTTGCATAGTCAGAAGTGATGTTGCTCTAGCAATTGCTAGAAGCGGTGCGCAAAAAAGTGAGATATTGGAGAACTCGAGTTGACCGAACTCTAGCCACGATAGAGAGGCTGCTAGTGCTAATGGTACCTATAAGTCAATGATCACTTATGTATATTTAGTATACACGACATCACAGCAGCTTTAACCTGAAAAACATATCCCTAGATAGTAATAACACGTATTAAAACAAAAATTCTTTCTGGTATGAAAATACTCTGCTAAAAAGTGCACCGCAACTGATAAAACTTGATTTGAATTATTCTATTTGCTAACAAAAGAATATTGCATTGAAGTGGACATACCATGAGGATGGGCTGCGGTTTACCAGCAGCTCTTTCCGGAACAAGTTTCTTCCCGAGAAAAAGGATGGTAAAAGTGAAGATAAAATCAAAAATCCTGAAATAAGAAAGTGTGTTTAGTTGTAAGAAGATAAAAAGGCTATAAAAACTTGTCAGTCAAAAACCTCTAGTAACTATGATTAGTGGAAAAGTGCGGGGTCCTGCGAAGCGGAAACACGAACTTTTCGTTTAAGAATGCCAATAATCACTTTGGCTGCCGTCCGGTTAATGATAAAGCGATACTCATTAAACATACCTGATTAAATACAGTTCTCCTTGTCGATGCTGTGAATGTACCAGGGAGGACAACATGGTTTCACAAAATTTGACAGCTACGGGAATTTTGAAATTCTTAAAGTAGGGATGATGATCATTTTGTTGTAAATAAAGTTGTATATTGATATAGAATTTTATTATGTTTACAGTTGAGTCATGGAGTAGTATGTTGTGCTATCGAGATAAATTGTA